TATATTAAATACATCATATTTCTTTATTATTTATCTTTCTTTTCTTTTTATTATTTCATATATTAAATTATTATTCATTCATTTATTATTTATATTTCATTTATTAAATAAAATGAAAATGAAATTGTAAAATATCAATTAAATATTCATGAATAATAATTTATTAATATTTAATAATTGAAATAATAAATAATAATGTAACAATAATGATATATTCAATATATTCTTTATTTTATTTGTTCAATATTAGATTATTCTATTTCATTATCATTTCATTGTCTTCATTATTTTATTTCATTATTTCATATTCATTTATTATTTTTAAAATCAAATAAACAATAATATTGATATTTATTCATCATATTCATTTAATATAATAAATATACACAACATTTCAGAATAAATAATGAATAATTAAGAATGAAAACATTGATTATATTTAATATTTTGTTCAACATAAAATCAATAAAACATATATTTTGATAATACACAAATGAAATATTAAAGAAATATACAATACTCAAGAAGTAATAAAAAAGAAATAAAAAGAAAGAATAAATGAATATAAAATTGATAAATAATAGAAGAAAGAAATAGAAAAACAACGAAAAACAAATAATATAAAAAGAATATAAATATATAAAAGAATAAAAATAAAGTATGAAGAAGAAAAGAGATATAAAAATAATAAATCACAAAGATGTAATAAAATATGAAAAGAAGAAATAAAAAGTGTATTTTTATTGTAAAAATTAGAAATATTCAATAAAAGTGTCTAATTTAATTGTGTAAAATGATTAATATTATTTTATTATTGAAAAATATTTTACTCTTTTTTATGTTTATTATTTATATGTATAACTTCATCATGATGTTTATTATATATTCAATCATATGTGTTATGTTATTATAACATATAATAAGTGATAAAATATAAATGAAAATGATATGAATATATGATATAGAATATAAAACAAAAGAATAATAAGAATAAATGATAAATAAAACGAGAAATGATAATCAATGATATAATAATAAAATCAAAGTATAAAAGATAAAATCAATATAAATCAAAAGAGAATAAATATAAAATGAAAATAGATATAAATGATAATAATATAAAAAATGATAAAGATGAATAAACAAATACAACTAAATAGAAAAGAATAACAATAAGAAAATCTAAAGAATATAAACATAAAAATAATAAAATAAGAATAATATAATAATATATAGATAATAAGAAGAATACAATGATATAAATAATATAAACAGAGAAATAAATATATAAAAATACGATAGATAAATAACATAATAATAAAAGAATATGAATAATAAAAATAATAAAAATAATCAAATCATCTATTTCATTAATATTTCATACAAAATGACTATAAATGATTATAAAATATAAACATAAATATTTATGGATTGTATATTTATCATATTTTTTTTTATTTTTTTATTTTTATTTTAGGAGCAAAATATAATAAATGGAAAATTCTATGGATGCAAATTATTTTGCATCTTTTTTCATTTTTATAAATTATTTAGATGCATTTTTTCTTGCTTATTTTCGTACCTAATATATTCTACATAACTTGTCTCACTTCCTGTTTCACTTGTTGTTTCTTTAAGTGTTACAGTAATAACAGTATTTTCTGGTTTATTCTCTATTTTGCTTGCAATAAAATCTTTCTCTAATGTTCCACATGTATTATCTTTAAAGTATTTAATATGGTATTCAACATTTGAGTCTTTTTTAACTCCTTCAGTTACTTCATTCAAATAATCTTCTATATCTTGTTCATTCAATGTTGTTTCTGATTCTTCTTCAATACTTGAATATACTTTAATTGTTTTATCTTCTCCATATAATACACATTTAGCTTTCTCTTCTCCTTGTGCTATATTATTTACTTCTATCCCATTTTGACATTTATTACTTGTTTCATCCATACAAAGAATTACATTATCAGCAAATGCAATTCCAATGAATAATATTATTGTATTCATTTAATGCTTT